GGAGCTGCGGGGGTGCAGGACTGGAATAGCAGGGTGCTAAGGGCAGGCTGAGGTGAATTGGCAGAGCTGCGGGGGTGCAGGACTGGAATAGCAGGGTGCTAAGGGCCAGGCTGAGGCGCATTGACAGAGCTGCAGGGGTGCAGGACTGGAATAGCAGGGTGCTAAGGGCAGGGGTGAGGTGTGTTGGCAGCATCATGTGAGAGAAGCTTACAATGGCCTTGCCGTGCAGAGACACTGCATAGAACTGTGTTTAAGAAAGAAAGAGAAAGAAAGAACTAGCAGGAGAGCGTGTTCCTCAGCAGAGGTGGTGCTAAGGTAGGGTTACCATACGTCCGGATTTTCCCAGACATGTCCGGCTTTTTGGTCCTCAAATCCCCATCCGGGGGGAATTGCCAAAAAGCCGAACATGTCCGGGAAAATGCCGGCAGTCCCCTGCTTACCTGAGCGGCTCCAGCAGGCTGTGAGCTGCAGGCAGATTCCCCGCCTCAGCGGCAGCTGCTGCTGCTCCCCCCAGACACCTCAGCTCTGTGTAGCTGAAGAGCCGAGCTGTCTGAGCGCTACCGACTTCGCGGTTTGCCGAGCAGTCCCAGACCTCCAGACCCTGTGCCCCCGGCCGGGCGCTTCCCCTCCGGGGCTCCGGCTGCGCTGGGGAAGTGCCCGGCCAGGGGCGCAGCGGGTCTAGAGGTCTGGGGGCTGCCTGGCAAACCGTGAAGCCAGTAGCACTTGGGCAGCTATTTTGCATGGCTGGGAGGGAGGAGGGGGAATGCGGGGCGCTCAGGACAGGGGGCGGAGTTGGGGTGGGGACTTTGGGGAAGGGGCGGGGCCAGGGCGGAGTTGGGGCGGGGACTTTGGGGAAGGGCAGAGTTGGGCGGGGCTGGGAGCGGGGAAGGGGCGGGGCCAGGGCCCTATGGAGTGTCCTCTTTTTTAAAACCTTAAATATGGTAACCCTAGCTAAGGTCTTCATGGCCATATGTCTCCCTGAGCCAGCGTGTGCAAGGGAATGAGGTGACTTGCTGCTGCTTCTCCCTTTTGCACTGGTGGTAATTACTGCCAAGGTGCATTAGCTGGACTAAGAGCATGTCAGGATCTGACGCGCTAAGTGTTAGTACAAGGTGGATAAACGTTACTGCGGACGCTGAAGGGGTCTGACATTTTGGGGTTCAACCCAGACCTGTAAGGGGTTGTGTCACCACCTACCCTGCAGCTCTGGGTGTCTTAAATGCATGCTATGGTGCTGTGGCCCTCAGCCCGGAGACCAACAGCCAGCATACATGCATGCAGGTCACATCTCCTGCCCAGTTACTGTTTGCTGCAGAGTGACACCAACACCCAGTCCCAAATATCCCCCAAACTGTCTCCCTGCAGTGTCCAGCCCTCTCCTGAAATGCTCACAGAAGGTTTTAAGTTCACTGCTCCTTTAAAGAGACAGAAACAGCAGCGTGTATCTGGACTGGAGCTAGCAATCACTTCAGTTCAATTAAAGCACTGGGTTGGTTTAGGTAGAAGTGAAACAAGTTTATTTAATCAAAAAGAGAGAGATTTTAAGCGAGCTCGGGTCTAAGGGCTAAAGGTAGAAAGAGTTACAAACACCCCCCCCCCAAGTAAAAATACCACTTTCTAATGGCTAAGACCTAACTTAATAAGCTACAGTCTTTGTTCAAGGTAGTTTCCTAAGCAATCTTCCTCCTCCAGCAATGGCTGGCTAGCTTAGTCAGGCTCCCCACAGACTCCCGGGCGCTGATTTTCCTTGTCTCCTCAGGTGAAGGATAACTTAGGGGTTCACTCCCCCTCTCTTTATAGTCCAGGGAACCTTTGAAATGTGTTCTTCTGAAATGTATCCCCAGATAAAGTTCCTTTCCCTGCTGGGTGTGAATGCCAGGCTGTCTGGTGCAGACACAAGGCTGTCTGGTGTAGACACCAGGCTGTCTTTTCCCCTGCTGGTGATTTTCTCCCCTGCCGGTGATTTTCACAATGCAAATTATCTCTTCCTACAACCTCCCATACCAACGAATAGCCCATTGAATTTGGCCACACCTGCTCTGAGGTGTTGGCCTCTTTCCTTTGTCTGGAGAAAACCAGTTTATAAGCTCCCCCTGACATGCCTGGTTTAAACACATTTCAGTCACATATTTTCAGCATCTGTCTATAAAGTCCTTTGTGGGTTTACTGTACACAGTTCAGGCAGGAATATTAATTATCAATGAGTTATTAGTTTTCCAGTGATATATTACATGCCACCTTTTGGGTATCTCATGACAACAGTGTGTTAGGTGTAGTGAGTCTGTCAGGCCTGAGAAGAGTTGCTGACAGGGAGCAGTGAACCACCAGCAGTGTGTCACAGGGAGCTATTAATGTTCATGGGGAACTGTAAATCTGTCTGGAGAGGGCTAGACATTCTATTCCTGTAGGGCAGCTCTGAGCGGTGCTGGAGGGGGTTGGGCTATTACTTTAACATTGTGAATCATGGGACCATTAAAGGGTGGGGGTTGGAACCAGGTACTGGGCAGGATCCCCTCAAACTGCCCTTTCAGGGCACCTCATTCCTGACTCACATCACCCCTGCTACTCTAGTCCTAGGACCCCCAACCCAGCTCTGCTGCAGCCCCTCAATGCTAACCCATAGCCCACTCTGCTATTCCTATCTGGCTCTGTACTCTAACACCCAGGCACTGAAACTCACCCTCCCCACCAACAGCGCCTTACTCTGTGTGCCCTGCCGCCCGAGCAGAGCAGCAGTGCAGAGACAGCCACCTGTGTTTGCATGTGTGACTGTGTGCGTGTCCTTGTCTCTGTGCGTGTGTTGTCCCTGTGGACATCTGTGCCTTTGTGTGGCTGTATTCCTGCATGTTTTTGATGCATTCCTCTATACTTGGCCCTGGTGCGACCGCTGCTGCAATGCTGTGTCCAGTTCTGGTGTCCACAATTCAAGAAGGATGTTGATAAATTGGAGAGGATCCAGGGAGGAGCCCCGAGAATGATTAAAGGATTAAAAGCCATGCCTTATAGGGACAGACCCAAGGAGCTCAATCTATTGAGCTTACCAAAGAGACGGTTAAAGAGTGACTTGATTGCAGTCTATACGTACCGACATGGGGCACAAATATTTGATAGTGGGCCCTTCAGTCTAACAGAGAAAGGTGTAACATAGTCCAATGGCTGGAAGTTGAAGCTAGACAAATTCAGACTGGAAATAAGGCACAAATTTTTAACAGTGGGCGTAATTTGCTATTGGAACAATTTACCAAGGGTTGTGGTGGATTCTCCATCACTGCCATTTTTAAATGGAGATTGGATGTTTTTCTAAAAGATCTGCTCTAGGAATTACTTTGGGAAGTTCTCTGGCCTGTGTTATACAGGAGGGCAAACTAGATAATCATTGTGGTCTCTTGTGCCTTTGGAATCCATGAATGTTTGTGCATGTGTCTCTCGACGTTTTGCACCCATATCTCTGGGGGTGGGTGCATGCCCCTGTGTGTGCTTGTGTTCGGGTGTGGGTGGGTGTGTTCTCCGGGGGGGGGGGTATCTCTATGCGTCTGGCTGTGGTTGGATGTAGGGGTGTACACTTCTCCAGGTGTATGTCTCACTGTGTGGTTGATTGTAGGTGTGTGCATTCATCTAGGTGCGTGTATACATTTCCTATATCACCATTTCTCATCAGGGGAAGAAAGCAATCCTTTGTCTTGCCTCAGTCCTCCCCTGCAGCTCTGTAAATCCCGCTGTGGCTGACACCCTGCTTGGTCTGCCCCTTACACCCTTTCTTCTACTTCCAAGATCTTCCCCACACCTGCTCCATCCTTCCCTTGGACAGTCTGATCTCACCACGGGAGAAACTAGGGAAGAGACAGGTGCAGCTTAGCTCTTAGCAATCACTCCGGAGTGGGACCAACACTGCAGCAGCTGGTGCCCCTGCCCTGAATGGCTGCCCCATGAGGGAATAAGCGGAGGCCCATGGATGGGATCAGAAGGACAGACTAGCCCAGGGAGCCACCATGAAGCCTAGCTGGAGTTCTAAGCAGGGGAGGTGTGTTTCTTATGCTTTCCTGCCTTCTCTGTGGCTGCAGGAAGCCGTTCCCCATTGGAGACAAAGTGACATTCAGCGGGAAAGACTGCGTCTGCCAAGCTTGTTCCCATTCGCTGATCAGCTCCAAGCCTATCAAGATTCACGGGCCGAGCCGTAAGTTGGATAGATTTGATCTCGCTCTCTCACGTGTGATGTCTGCAAAGGGTTAATGACAGGTGATCTGGCAGGTTCTGATCCCTGGTGCTATCATGTGACCTGTCAGAGAGTGCCCATCATGGAGGCATTGCTCCTTGCTAAGTCATTATGACTGGGGTAGCCTGTGCCTTTAAGAGATCCAATGGTAGCAGGTACCAGGAAGAGAAGCAGCTGGATCCATTTGTGGGGCCAGCAATGTGATCTGTTTGCTCCCTGGTGTTTCTTTAAATGTACTCTGTACAACTCTTCTCATAGCCCCTACATTCCCTACCCCGGTTACAGACCCACGCTTTCCCATCCCCACGAGCAATCAGAGATGCTATTAGAACCCGGACACTCAGCCAGGGCAGGGGACCCTCCCAGCGCCAGGCTTCTCTTGTGGTGCACATGCCCAATGCTGGATTTCTCCCCAGTGCTGGGAATAGCGGAAAGGGCCCCAGTATTGCAGTGTAGTGGAGCACTGGTGAGGCGGGCGTGGCTAGGGTTTATTTGTGGAGCTGGTGGGGGAGGCAGCTCAGGCAGGGCATCTCCCAGTTCCACCTGGGCTTTCCCTATGGCTGTCGCAGGTCACCACTGGTGTCTGGAAATCCCATGTATTCATGACCTGACAGGGCTTTGCTAGTGAGCCCTTTGCAGCCTGGAGCAGTCTGCAGTGGGATTTCTGAAGACAACCCTAGGTTGTTGGGACAATACCCAAACCCAAAATCTGCAGCGAGGGGAGGAAAGGCAAAGTGCTGTGATCCCCATGCGGATGCTGTGTTTCACCTCGCCTGTGTAAGTCTGAGGTGGGATTGCCCTGTTAAGGGAAGGCCAGCAGTAGGAGAACAAGTCACTCCTCCTGCCCTTGCACCCAGGAGGTACAAGCCAGGCACTCTGTGACATCAGAGAGCAAGATTCAGCGCACTTGTTGCGATCAACAGGTAACTGAGCAATCTAGTGCCCAGGGCTGCCAACAGCTGCTCTGGAAAAGTAGGGTCTTGCTTGCTCACTCGCATTCTTCCTCAGAAGTGTACTGAGCTCCAGGGCTTCTCTCTCTGTACATGAGCAGCACCATCCAGGGGAAACAGGCACTGGTTTTCGCTAGGGTTTTATTTACTCATTTCGCCCTGCTATGGTAGCTGGGTTTGAACAGCCACCTCCTATACCCTCACACACAGGGCCTGATCCAGAGCCCAGGACTGCCCAGAGGGGGGGGCAAGTGGGGCAATTTGCCCCAGGCCCCTGGCCCCGGAGGGGCCCCCATGAGAATATAATATTCTATAGTATTGCAAGTTTTTTTTATGGAAGGGGCCCCTGAAATTGCTTTGCCCCAGGCCCCCTGAATCCTCTGGGTGGCCCTGCCGAAGCCCATTGAGGGCAGTGGAAAGGCGCCCATTGGCTTTGATGGATTTTGGATTAGGCCTAGGATTGTCTTGGTGTTTCTTTTATGTTTACAGTATCTTTCTTTTTTCCTCTCTCTTTCTCGTTCTTTCTTTCTGTCCTGGTTCTCCCCAGTTACATTGCACTTTGGCTTTTAGAGCTCTCACCTCTTACCTTCTCCCTCCCTTTGTGGAGGGAACAGGCTGAGGCCCTTGTCCAAGGAAGGGGATTGTAATGAGTTAATAACTGGTCCATCCTTTGCTGGTACCCACATATATTGTGTATGCTGCCATCCAAGTCATGGGAGAACTGCATCAGCATAATTCCTGCGCAGATGGCAGAAGACCGAGATAAGTGGGAGCCATGCCATGCCCTGGTGACCAAACTCCTGTCATGTCAGCTGGACCAAGCTGCTGAGTGGCAGAAGCACCAGCCCTCACTGCAGCACCAGTAAGGGACACCACTGAGACCAGCAGGAGTCATTCACTGCTCTGCCAGGACAGTCTGGTGGGAGTCCTGCGAATGTTGCACTGTTCAGCAGGTGTCCAAGAGACCATAGCAGTGTCAGCTGGTGGGTGGCAGACTGGGTGTGTTGGGCAGTGCCAGCCCTGCATTTGTGGAGAAGTTTGCATATGTGTTTGCCATAAAGGGTAGCAGGTGGCAGCTCCAATGGAGCGGGGGTTCAGCCTCTCAGGAGAACAATGTCCATTTTTAGAAACTGACATGGAAGACTTCTTCCTTCTGTTTTTCTTTGTTTTCAATGGGATTTTAATGCATAAAAGTCTGTGGATCAGAATGTGAAAGTCACAGCACTGACCCAGTGAACCCAGACAGATCCCACCGCGCTGGCTGATCCACCCTCTCACCACTGGGCAGGGGAAAAGGTGGATTTTTGCTTTCCCACTCGAGACCTAAGGCCAAGGTGTGGGCCCCTGAATTGTGGAGTTTCCCATTATGGGCTTGATTCGCATCCCAGCCATAGCTCTTGGGTTCAGAGAGCTCTTGCATTGGAGGTGTGGGGGAAAGCGGGGGAGGAACCCAATTTATTATTTAAATCTAGTTCATTTTAATTTCAATTTGACTTAAGGATGTCTGGTCTGCTCCAAACTTGGAAACCCCTAAATGGTAGGTCCCCCACTTCTCTCTCGTGTGTCCACTCCATCCCATGACCCCCACCAACTGAGTGGAGGCTACAGTTACACTTGACAGGATTTTAAAATATAGCTAGGCTATAACCCTTCCTGCTTCAAGGCATGAGCCAACAAAAACTGGTGGGGTCTGGAAGAAACATCCCTTCCAGGCAGGTTATCCCATTACTGTCCATTACAGGGCTTCCTCTGAGGCATTTGGTACTGGCCACTGACAGAGATGGGGAACTGGACTGGAGAGGCCAATGGTTTGATCTGATGTGAACCTAGCTCAGGGGTCTGGCCTTAGCATCATGTTACAGTATGCTCCTGTCGGCCCCAGGCATGAGAGGCCAGTGAACCCCCTGCCCCAATGGGGACACTCCTGGCAGAGTTGGACATGAAAGACCCCAGATGATGGTGATGAAAGCAGCAAGGCCAGGTCTATCCGAGCCAGAGCAGACTAGCGCTGAGTCAGCACAAGGTTGTTTCCCCCACCCACAGTGTCCATTAGGAGGCTCTTGGCAGAGAGGAAGGGAAGGGGAACCATGTGTGTCATCTGTTTCTTCCCACCCACTTCCATGTCCTCTCCCGGTCAGGTGCCCTGGAGACCATAGCCTCTGAAATCCTCTCTCAGATGTTCCTCGGCTAGGCTGCAGAGCTGAGGTTACCCAAGGGCAGCATGGATTATTCATAACTAGCTGCAGGCAGCATCCAGGATGTGCATAAGCCAAGACAGCTTCCCTCGCTGCTCCTGGCCTGCACCCTTATCACCTCCATGGCACTGCAGCCAGTTGGGGACTGCAGAGCCTTGGACCCCTGGGGGAGGCGAGGGAAGTGCCACTGTTGTCTAGTAGCAAAAGCAAGGGTAAGTTCTCGGATGAGGACATCCCCAAAGAAGGCTGCAGGCTGCTTCTGCAAGTCTCCTCCAAGACCCCCTGACTGCCAACATAACAGGAGCAAGCCTGAAAGGCGGGTGAGCAGCAAACCCGGGGGAGTGGTGCCATGTAGGGGCAGGTGCCAGAGCACAGCAGTGAATGACTCATGCGAGAAGGGCCTAATTGAGCTGCTGCTCTGTGTGCCACTCCAATTCTGCCCAGTGAGGCAGATGCATGGGGGTAAAATGGAACTGCACAGCTGCCCTGAAGTGTGGTGGTAAAACACACCTTTGGTGCTGTCGAGATTACCACTCAGTCGGCTTGCAATGCACTGTATTTGCTGCATTCGTATAGCACAGGGGACTGAAATCTCCCTGGAGACCGGCAGCAAAGAGGTTAAAAAGAAACACCTTGTCCATGTATCACACAGACTCCTGAAATCCTAGAGAGCCCCTGATGTGAAAGAGAGAGAAGGGCAGAGAGGAGTCAAAGCCAGGGCTCTCAGGCCCATATGCTTCCTGCTTCCAGCCTTGATGGGAGCCCAGGGAAATGGGAAAGGAAGGAAGGCTGGTAAATACTGCAGCGGGCTGATGTAGACACAGCTTAGAGAACAGCCCTTCCTATGCTCAGCTTGCTGCCAGACACTTCCCACCATTGCTACCCGAAGGGGGAGCCATGCAAGGAGCACTAATACGGATGCGATTCAAGGGCTGCCAGTATTTTAACCCCAGGGTCACCTAGCTCATGACCCAGTGGGTAAACCCTGCTCAGCACCAGGGCTTCCACTGGTAGAGCTGAACTGCTGCTAGTAACACTGGGAAATATTTGGCGAAGAGTCCATGGCTACACCAGACTGCTGCATCCCCATCCACCCAAGCTGGGAAGTGGCTGTCACTGGTATTTATTCCCCTTCCAAACATGACTCCCTGCCAGCATTCGCTCTGAGGATCTCAGAAAAGCAGCTCGAAAACCAGGATGAGCCAAGCAGGTTGGCCGCACCCTGGTGCCCACCAAGTGAGGCCATCTGCTTTGGGCGAGGCTGGGGGTGCCAGTTGCTCAGCAGAATCGTGGCATGTTCCCAGTGCATTTTGCCCCTGTGCTGTCTGTGCTCCTGGCACCCCACCCAGTTTTCCTCTGAGGAGCCCAGCTCTTTCTTAGCACCAACTGTGGAAGCTTGCTATGCAATACGCAAAGTGCTGGGACTCATTAGGGAATGTGCTGAAGATGCATATTCCCATTAGAAAAAAAATGCAATGTGTGTTGGGGTAGCTCTCATCAGAAGCCTCTCTCCCAGCACCCATATCAGAGGGTGAAAAGGTATCTGATTCTGGGAGAGAACAGGGAGAGAATGGTCTGATTCTCTGTGTGTGTACACTTCTCTCTGATTCTGTGTATGGGAATTTGTGTGTACCTGTGGGTATGTCCACACTGCAAGCTTGACTCTAGCAAGCCTGGCTAAAATAGTGAAGATAAAGTGACATGGACCCCGGTGTGGGCTATCAACACAAGTATGTACTCCGGATTCTGGGCAAGCTTGTACAATCCAGTGCCAGGGTCCATGCCGCTGGGTCTTCGCTGCTATTTTCTGTTGCGCTAGCTAGAATAAAGCCAGTGCAGGTATGCCCACCTGAGCTGCAATCACACCGCCGAATGCCGTGCAGACCTACCCTCAGTGTGAGTGTGTGTGTGTATCTGTGTGCATTGCTGTAAGTGTGGGGCTGTGCGTTTGAGTCACTCGGTGTGCACGGGATCCTGTCCCGGCTCCCAAGACTTTAGGGAATGATGGCACAAGTCAACAAACTGTTTCAATATGTCCCCTCTAGCTTGGGCAGAGTTTGAAATATGCGAGTCACAGCACCTTGTTCTAGATGACAGTGAGATGAGAGCGGGGCTTCAGTGTTGCCAAATCTTGCAATTCACCTTGCGTGGCTTTCCCAGTTGTGCCTTCGCCAGGCTGCAGAACCCCTTGGAGCAGGAAGCTGTGGTGGTTTCATGCTCTGCCCCATCCTTTGTCTCCCCAGACTGTGCAGGCTGCAAGGAGGAGATCAAGCACGGCCAGTCGCTCCTGGCCCTGGAGAAGCAGTGGCACGTCAGCTGCTTCAAGTGCCAAACCTGCGGGATCATCCTGACTGGCGAGTACATCAGCAAGTGAGTGTCTCCTCGTCCCTACCCGTCATCCTTCACTGCACCATGGCCACTCACTGGGGAGGGAACAAGGAGGCCGAGGGCTAGTGTACGCCCCTGGGATTGCTGCAGGCTCCCAACTCCCCTCGCCCATCAGGCTGCAGGGGCAGCAGAAGCACATACCACAGAAATGGATTCTGGGTGGGGAGCCAGCTGATCACCTGTCTCCACACACACACCCCACAGCTGGGTGGAAGGATGCATCCTGGAAGTTCTAGACATGTCTCTGAGGAGACTTAGGTAAGGGGCTCACCATGATGGGGAGGGGGATTGTTGGAATCCCTCCGAGACATGCTACTGCGCAGGGAACGGGCTGGCTGGTGAGTATGTGGCACGCATGCCCTCTTCTGAATGGAACAGCACATCTGCTCAAGTACCTGTCAGAGGCCTTGGTCCTGCTCCCCCGGGGCAGAGTCTCCATTAGCTCGAGTGGCCCGTGCTTCTGGTCCAGGCAGGCTGTCACTGTCCCTCACCCCTTGGTGGCTGTGGTGCTGGGCACAGCAGCGGCCTTGCGGGCTGTGGTCTCCGTGTATATTTGTGACTGTCTGAGGCTGAGAGCAGGCAGCAGGGAAAGGGTTTCTTGCTCTGCATACTGGCCGGCTGCAGGGTTTCTGGCACGGTCTTGGCTCATGAAGCATGCCCGCCGTCAGGCTTTTATAGGCCAGGCTTAGATGGCCCCTAGGAGGCTGCAGGCGCATTCAGTCACATTAGCAGGCAAGAGCAACTCTATTGTACCCTCGTACCACTCCTCTCCTCCTCCTCAGACTCCAGAGCAGGACTTAGCTGCCCCAGGAGCCCCACTCCATCCCCTCCTCTGAAGCTGGTCAAGGGCCAGCAGCTCCAAACAATTGCTGTGGTCTGTGCAAATGCGGTGGGTCTGAGACACCAAGGGTAGCATGGGGCCCTCTGACAGGCAGCCCAGGAGTCCTGAATCCCCTCCTGGGGGCGGAGGGGCTGCATGAGCCTGGCCTGGCTGGGGTGTGGGGGGATCAGACACCTGGCCTGCAGGAAGAGTTCCCTTATGCTTGGAACTGCTCTCCTGCTGCTCTCTGAGAGAAGCACTGAGGCGTGAAGGTGAAGCCTGTAATAAAATCCTCGCCCTGCCACTGTGTGGAGTGAGCAATGAGCTGGAGCCTGCAGGGGAAACAAGCTGACAGAGGAAGGGGAGCCCACAGGAGAGTGGGGGGGGAGGATGAAGAGAGCCTGTGGGGGGAGAGGAAGGGAGGGGCAGGGCTGGGGTAGGTGAGGAGATCCTATGTGGGGGAGAGGGTGGGAGGGGCGGGGCTGGGGTAGGTGAGGAGAGCCTGTGGGGGGAGAGGAAGGGAGAGGCAGGGTTGGGGTAGGTGAGGAGATCTTATATGGGGGAGAGGGTGGGAGGGGCGGGGCTGGGGTAGGTGAGGAGAGCCT